GGCTGTGCTGACGCGAACTCAGGAGATGAGATGGTCGCCGTGTTCGCCTACATCGCGGACAAGCTGCGCTGCGATGCAGAGCGGCTGGACACCATCTGTCATCGCGTCGAGTGGGAACGCTCTCCGGTGAACCCTGCCAACCAGCAACTTGCGGAGGCCGAGCATGCGACCGCGTGAGGAAGCTTGGGAGGCGCTCGATGAGGTGCTGTTCGAGTTGGTCGAGTTCGCGCGGGTCACGTCCGCGTCGAAGACTTCGCCGAAGACCATCAGGTCGATGGTTTGCGCGCTGATGATTTTCGAGCAGCTCGTGAAAACGGTTGGCAGCGCGGCCACGCGCTACGCGGTCGAGAGCGGTCACAGCTCGAAGGTACGTTGATTCTCTGCATGGCGTTCTGCTTCGGCAGAGCTCCTTATTCGCCGGCCCCTCGGGGCCGGTTTTTTTTCGTCACGCGTAACGGAAAAACGGTGCGCCAGCGCAGCGCAGAGGACCCGACTGGGGACCCGCCCGAAGGGTGGGGTGCGAGGGTCCGAATAGGGGCGTCGCCGCCCCGGCAACGCAGGGTGCGGCCGTCGCGTGATGGCTCACGGACTCGCGGCTGTTGCCGGTGTCACACGGTCGCCTGCCCCCGCGCCCTGCAAGCCTGCTGTATTTCCATTTCCGATGATGTATGCTCCAAACGCAGCACTTAATCATCCAAACAATGGAGAAATGGATATGCGTACCCCGCTTGATGCACTGATTACCGAAAAGTCCCTGAGCTTCGTGCACGGCCAGGGCAATCCTGACCTGGCCGACTTGGTTTTGAACGGTCCCGGCTCGGAAAACCTGCCCGTCAAGAACGTCTGCGCGAAGGTCGCGCCTGAGCTGGCAGACGAGATTGACGGTATCTGCGGCTTGCTGGGCATCAGCAAGCGGCGCTTCTTGGAGGCCGCCTTCATCGAAGCCGTCCGTAAGGCGAAAACCATCATGGCAGCCGAGGGCGTGATGGACGCGCTCGATGGTGAGCCGCCGCTCGGCCACGAGCTGGCAGCCGTGGAGGCTTGACCATGGCCATGCTCACGCTCAACGGGGTGGTCCAAAACGTCTTCGATACCCCCGAATCGGTCGACAAGAAGACCGGCGAAGTGCGGCCCGCCGCGACCCGCGTGCAGGT